CCGCGTTGGCCTTCTCCTGAGCGTCCTTAGCCAGCGTGTGGTTCTCCAGGTACTTCACGTCTGCAAGGGGGGGGACAGTATGTCAAAACAGTGCCAAACCCAGGTGTCTGCCCCATCCGTACCGTGCTGTGCCGGGAGGAACCCATGCTCCTGCATCAACACCCCTTGTGCACGAGAACGCTGCACAGGAGGGGACCTGCACCCGGTCCCTACCGGGCCACGGGCTCCCCATCCCTGCCCTGCCTCCCGGGTCTCCCCCAGCGCTGAAGATGGACATGTAAACCCCCATTGGCTGCCGGAGGGCCTGCACCCCCTGCCCTTGCCACCCAGAAAGCCACAAAACTGAAACTCATTACTAGCTGCACCCACACACAGGGAGCCGCTGCCACCAGCCACCCTTAATTCCTGAAGGTCGAGGAAGCGGCTGAATTAATTCCCGGATAAACCTCATCTTTCCAATGTGGCAACAGGGCTCACCAGCCTGGAAACCCTAATCCTCCGCGCCTTGCCAGGGTCACAGTGGCTCCCCCGTAATCCCTCTGCCAGCTCTGCTGCCTGCAGGGTGGGAAGCGGCACAACAGGCAGCGGCACCAAGGCGCAGGCAGGGTCTGGCAGCCAAGGGGCCATTGCAGCCCCGACGGCAGCACTGCAGCGCCGGGATGTGCACAGCCCCAGGGCACAGGTTGTCCCTGGGGACAACAGGTCTGTAACCGCCCTATGGCTGCAGCACGGTGGGAGGGTGACTGCAGGGACAGCCCAGGCTGGGGGCTCGGGGTTTCTCCAGGCTTTTGGGGCAGCCTGAGCTGGGCTCTGCCCTCCAAGGATGCTGCCGTGGTGCTCGGGTTGCCGTGAGTGCTCTGTGAACCCAGCACTTGTTTTCAAGCTGCCCAACATGTTGTTGAACCGTCCCTGCACGCAGATTTCAGTGGCTTTAGGGAAATGGTGCTGCGCACCACCCCATCAGCCGGCCACAGCTACGCACAGCGATGGTAACTCGGTGCCCGCCCGCGGGAGACCTTGCTGCAAATCCCGGCACCAAGCCCATTTGGGGCAAGTGGATTTAATAGATGTACTGTACGGCACGGAGGTGGCCAGCAGCACTGCGATCAGGTAACAGCGCTGTGGGCTCTGCCATCCAGCAGCGGCGGACGCACGACCAAATTCAGGTCTGGGTTGGCAGCCCGGACACAAGCCACCCGCTGGCTGGGAACAGGAAACCTGGGCACAGGTTCTGGCCAAGGCGGTTGCGTGCTTGGGGTTTATTTCTGGCTTTCGCCCCAAAAAAAGAGGGGAATCAAAGATGGCTTTGACCCAGATGGTCAGATGCTGTAGCCAAAGGGCTGAGTAGCTGTCAGGAGGGCAAAGCATGGTGCTGGAGGTGGCTGACCAGGAGGGAGCGGACGGGACCCCGACTGCCGGGTGGGGGTGTCCGTGGATCCCCCCACCACCTGGCCCCACAGGGCTCCCTTGGGGGGCCCACGGCACCTGAGGCTGCTCCCACCCAGCGAAGCTGAGAGCCCCCAGCCCATGCTCAGGCAGAGCTCGGGGAGCAGAGGCGCAGTGGGGGGACTGCGGGGTCCCGGGGAGACACAGCCTCTGGCCATGCCCACGGCCGGGCTGCGTGGCCGGGCCGGGGGCTGCGTGGCACAGGCACAAAGCGCCACAGGTCGTGCCAAGATGCACTTTATCAGATCACTCTTCCCTTTTCACTCCTGCAGCGCATTTGCTCCTATTGTGGCGGTCTCCCTCCTACCCAGCTTGTTGTTATGAAATCTCTTTATCTGCATAAGGTTATTGTGCATGTCATTAAAAAAAAGAAGTTATATTGATAAATGTCAAATCTATCCCCTGAGTTGGCTCAACAATAGCTAGTTCTACTCGATGAACTCACCTGGTTCTCTGAAAGACCCTATTCACTGTTTAATTGAATATTTGAATAATCTTTTCATTCCTGCAAGGAATAAAGAATGTTGTCCAAATAACATTGACTCACTTCATTTAGCGACACTGCAGCAGTTGCAAAGACTGTCCTGTGACAAAGCCTCCCATCACACATACAGATATGCCTGGGATTATTTCTATGCCCTCAAGTGTTCTTCCTATTCACAGCTCCTTTTGTTTGGGAGAAGCTGCTGATAAATTGCAAACGCTTAAGGGAATGTGGGCTATAAAAGCCTCTCTTCCTCCCCTCCCCAAGAGTAGCTGCTTCATGAATGTAAGTCATGAAATCGAATGATAGGTCAATCCATTAAGGCTCTATTAAGCCCTTCTGTAGAACAAAGCTAACCTGTGCCGTCCTCATAAATATTGCTATTTTGAGAAGCCCTAATTTTAATTAAATCTCTTTACCTGCTCAGGAGAGAAATCTATTTAGAACTCAAATGGCAGCTCTTGTGAGCGGGGCTTGGCTTTGATTGTGCTGTGGCAGAGTGGTAAATGTGGAAATTCTCTTGTTAAAGGCAATTACATCCTGCACATAATACACAATCCCATCCTCTACAGCTGAGCCTGCGAAGGGCAAATTACTCCAAGTGAGCTCTGCAATATGGAGAGAAAAAGTTGGATTTGGGGCAAAATTATGTATGGGAAAATACAGCTATTTGATTCCATGCCTTCCCTGAAAGCCGCTGCTCCGGGGAAATTGAACTGCAGCCGCAATCGGCATGAAATTTGACCGCCAGCCGCAATCGGCATGACAGCCGTGGCCACCGGTGCTGGCTGCGCTCTGGGAGGACGCTGCTCCTGCTCGCTGTGCTGTGCCGTGCTGTGCCGTGCCGTGCCGGGGGCCGGCGGGGGGCACAGGGCAGCACAGGGTGACCAGCCCTCCTGGTGCTGAGCCTGCGGGGCAGCGACCGGGGAAGGTCCCAGGGCATCAGCCCCACCAGCTCCTTAATTTCCCAGCCCAGGCACTGTTTGTGCCACACTTTATCACTGTTTGAACAGCAAATTATCGTATCTTATTTCTCTGGATTTCAAAACAGCTCTAGAGGAAAAGCACGCCGCAGGAGGAGATGCCGCAGGTGCAGGACAGGACAGCAGCGTGGCTCCTGCAACCAGAGACACCTGACCTGCCCGGGCCCCCGGGGGGACGCACTGCCGGACCTGCCTGCTGACGGGAACACCTCCACAGCAAACCCGAGTCCAACCGGTGGGTCCTTCAGCCCGTGCTGGCCCTGACCCAGCCCCTCAGATGGGGGAGCGGATTCCCACTGCCTGCAGCACGTCAGTGCTCCCACTTAACCCATTAACCCAGGGGCAGTGCTGCTCTGGGAGCAGGCTGGCTCCTCAGCGAGGGTCACATACAGCAACGCAAACGCTCTGTCGAGCAACGAAGTACCAAAATACACAGCGGTGTCCATACGGCGCAGAGTGCAGCTCGTGGCCTGCTGCACTTTGCAACGGGGCACATCGCTGCTGGCAGCACCCCCCCGGATGGGACCCATGGTGCACAAGTGCAAGTGCAAACCGAGGCATTGGGACAGGGACGGGGAGGGATCAGGGATGGGTTGGGATGGGGACCGGGATGGAGGCAGGGCTGCCCCAAGCTGGGCTCGCTGGCCCGGCTCAGCACCAGCACCCAGGCACTGCAGGGACCCCAGCACAAGTTTCCCTGGGGAAATGCCGGTTCCTGCCCTGTCCGGGTGCGTGCAATTAGCAGCAGCCGTGGAGGTGTGTGAAGTGAAGCAGCCACAGCGGCAGAGGTGCGAGCTGGGAGTGCAGCAGCCAGCTGAGTCCCTTGCAAGCCCTGCTGCTGTCCTCGTGCCGGGAGGTGAGATCTCCTGCTGGGACGGGGCTGAGGAGAAGGTGTCAGCACCAATAATGAAGGTTGCCGGGCACCCTGGGGTCCCCATGGTGCTCAGCACTGCCCCTAGCCGCACTGCCCCACTGAAGGCTTAGGTTGCTCTGGTTGGACTCTGATGGGTGACCCTACCTCAGGGCGATGCTCACAGGAAAAGGAGATGCATCTCTGACCATGGTGGATGGGAAGATGCTCCCCACGGGGGTGGCAGCATGGCCAGGGTGAGAGCTGGGCAGGATCAGGGCAGGAGTGGGGCAGGAGTGGGGCAGGAGTGGGGCAGGAGCAGACCCAGGGACGTTGCGGGCTGTGGCAGCGGTGCCTGCGGCTCCTGTGTATTTTGTCTAGGTGAGGCGGGACCGTGTGAACCCGCCGCCCCGGCCCGACCGCAGGCTCCAGAGCTGAGCCTAATCAGGAGCAGCACGCAGCCCCTGCCCCGCCGCACTGGCACGGGCCTCTGACGCAAATCCCGGGAGATAGGGCCGTCCCGGGCTGCCGCGTCTGTCAACACGCCTGTTTTGCCGCGGCCGTATCAGCTGGTTGTTTCCCTGCCCAGTGCAGCGTGTGAGTGACCAAAACAGGCTCCGCTCAGCC